GGAGCCCCTGGGCACACACCATCCCAGTCTGCCTGCAGAGTCAGATAGGCTGCTGGGGGTGGGGGCTGGGCGGGAGGGAAAGTGGGAGGGGCTCCTGCGGACTTGCGGCCTTCCTGAGGCCAGGGGAAGGGCTGCCCAGGGTGCTTTCCATTAAGCCTGAGAAAACAAAAGCAGCCTTTCAATAGACAGGATCTGACCCTGCACGTGCACAGACATGCCTCTCTTCCCTTGCTCGAATCCCAGACCTGGTTACACGTCACCTCATTTGGAAAACAAGGCAGCTGGACCCCAGACCCCATAGTTTGCCACTTTGATCTGATCCTCAAGTCTTGAGGGTCAGCAAGGAGACAAGGGAACGAACGAATAGGGAGTTCGTGCCGTGCGTGTATTCAACATGCACTGGACCACAGGTTTGGGGAGGGGGTTGGGAGAGCCCTAGTCTTGGTCACCAGCAGCACTCAGTGCTGTGGACGCTCAATTGAGTAGCAGGAGTGCATAACCTGGACAGAGAGCAGCACCGGATGCACCATGATGAGAAGAAACCAGGTAGGGGAAACCAAGTTAGCTCTGCTGACAGAGGCAGAGGAACATTCTGAAATGTGGGGAGGGGTGGGACAGGGGCAACAGCAATGTGGAACAAGATAGGACGCAGACACTGAGGTTCAACAGGTGTGGAGAGAAGGACTGGGAGGAGGACTGGAATTGGGGCCACCTCTGCGCATGGAGCCTGGAGCCTGGGTTTGGTACAACTGAAGGCTGACGAGAAGGGAACAAGGGAGAAACCCTTCTGCTTCTCATCTGTGTGGTTCCAAACACCGACACAAACCCTTGAGCTGAGCACCAGCCTGGTGATGCAGACCCTGGTCTGGAATCTAGCAACAACCAGGACGCCATTTTGGTAGCCGCCTTTGAGGATTTAGTGGAGGCCATGTTTACAAACAGATTTTGCAAACTGTAAAGGCCCGTGCCGACTTCCTGGTTCTCGGTCTATAACCACTGCCCGACCTCCTCGTTCACACACAGGCAATAAAGTGAAAGACCTCTGCACCGATCTAGCAAGCTGTGGCAAGCACTCTGCCAACGGAGCCACTGTTGGAGAAGTTCATCCAGAGGACGTGACCAATGGCTGACCAGAGAGCAGGCCCTGGGCAATCAGAGGGTCCTCACTTGCTCTCTGTCCTTGGGATGCACTCACAAGGGGGGCTGTTTCAGGGACACAGTCTTGAGGGAGCAGGTGGTGTTGACACCACGTGGATTGAATACATGACCAAACCTAGTCAAGGTCTCTATATAAACTTTCAGATTCTGGTGGACAGGTGTGTGGGCACCCAATACTAAGTTCATATGTGAGTCCCTTGCTTATTAAAACTGCCACCTACCAACCTGGAGTGGCCTGCCTTTTTCTTCAGTCACTCCTTGCCCTCCATGTATGGTGGCCTGTTTCAGATCCCACTCCCCACCCCCACCCCACTGAGGAAAATTCCTGAGGTTTCAAACCAACAGCAACAAGTCTCTGTGACTGAGGATCTTGCTGACAAAGGCTCTAACCCAACAGTGGCACCCTCAGTTTTGGACCCACCACCTTCCTGACATGGTCACTGGATACATTCCTTTTGAAAGGAAGATGCACTTTGTTATTGGGCTCCTGTTGAAACTAAACACCTGACCCAAGGAAGCTTGGACATTTTGGCTTCATAGTCACATTTGCGGGTTGGTCAACTTGGACTCAACTTCTCACCAAGTGGGAGGGATCTGATAAGCCCTGCTTGTCACAGGGGGATGGTACATTTAGAGGTGCAGCTGGCCTGGCCCAAATGTCTCAGTTCTACGTGGAAAAGTGGCAGATGTCCCTTTGGGGAGGATTTATCCCCCAGTCTGCTGTCTGAAGCAAAGTGCTGGCTCAGCAGCGCTCTCAGGTCACCGGACCTGGACCACTGGGGTTCAGTGAAGCTAGAACCCAGTGCTGTCTCTGGCTGATGCAGACATTCAGCCTCAGAGCCAGTTACTCACAGCCGGACATGGAGGCTGTCATTCTACTTGGGGGGCAGAACTCAGGGCCATTGTCATGGCTCTCACCAACAGATCAGCCTTCCTGTAATTCTACTGACCCTTGGGCTGTGCCAATGGCCTAGCTATTCGGTCGGGCACTTGGAAAGCTACGCTGGTTACAAATATCTCCTTGGAGAGAGAAATAAAGCCAACTGCTGACCTAACATCTGAGGAGCCTGTTGTCTGATGAGACGGGCCTGGAATCAATGTGCTGAGGGAGAATCACCCCCATTGCTGCCTGGATCCATCATCATCCCGGATGCAGCAAGACGTGCACCATCATCGACTGGGCACGAAGTAAAGGGTCAGGATCTGATTTGGGCTTGTGACTGTTCCATTTGTCTCGCAAGGAGGGAGGCCACATAGCAAGGGGCATTTTCCACACCTGCTCCTGGCAGATGGACTTGATTGGATCTCTGACCTTCTCTGAGAGCAGTGGTGCCTCACCACTGCTGACACTTTTTTAGGGTACATATTTCTTTTCTGGTCCAATCAACCTACTCCAGCAATAGCACTGTGGCCCTTGAAACTAATCTGCCTCATGTTTTGGCTTTTCATACCATTTTTAGTCTGACAATGGTGTGCTTTTTATTGTAAAGCCTCTTGACAGTGGGCTGATACTTAAGGTAATTAGTGGATCTTTCATGCTTCCTACCACACCATTCACAGGCTGAACAGCCTTGTCAAAAGTTGACTGAAAGGGATGTTTTTTAGTCTTTTCCCCTCACCTCCTCCTAGTCTGCCTTAGTAAGGCAGCTTTGGTCGCCCTGTGCTCCTATCCCCCTAAAAGCATAATCTCGTCTTGACTACTTCCTGAGTAATGATCCGGACAGGTTATATAGACCTGTTTTGGAAATTCCTGGACACGATGCTTCTTTCTTTTCCCTCACAGCCTAATGACACCCCCAGGCTGGCCAGGCTGGTACCTCCCCTTGGCAGCAGCCCAGCCAAAAGAGGGAGGGGAGGCGCTAAGAGATTCAAACTTATTCTGGCTCAGTACTAAACTAGGATTCTGGGATTTACTTGGTCCTAGATTATAAGGGTAATGACCGCTTGATTGAATACATTGCTCACTAAGTCCCAAGGCCCACACACACATAATGGATTTCCATACATTTTATAAAAATGTTCTTGTTTTGGGGCGCCTGGGTGGCTCAGGCAGTTGAGTGTCCAACTTCAGCTCAGGTCATATCTCACAGCATGTGGGTTTGAGCTCCGCATTGGGCTCTATGCTGACCGGTCAGAGGCTGGAGCCTGCTTCAGAGTCTGTGTCTCTCTCTCTGCCCCTCCCCTGCTCATGCTCTCTCTCTCTCTCTCTCAAAAATAAATAAACATTTAAAAAAAATGTTCTTGTTTCTCCTGTTGAAACAGGAAAGGATTCTGATTGGTGCCATTCAGGTCACATGCCAACCACTGTAGCCTACCACTGGCTACACTGATGTCAATCACTATTCCAAGAGAGTAGGGTGGTACAGTTGGCTGGGACTGGGGGGAAGCAACTGTGTAAGACAAGGAGGGTGGGATTTCGCTTACCGGAAAAAGAGAGCTTGGACAAGCAAAAAGGGACAGACCCCCACACTTACAGAACACAACTTTACATGTATAAAATATGTATATAAACATAAAGGAATATCTGGATATGTTACATGTGCACCCCAGAAAGTTTGAGAAATATCTATTGGCTAAATTTCTTCTTCCTGTCAACAAAATTCTATGTCAATATGGGAGACTTTAGATAGTT